CGCAACAAAATTCTTCATAGACCTTGAGAGAACAATAATCAACTTTATATGGAAAAACAAAAAATCCAGAATAGCCAAAACAATCCTATACAATAAAAGTACTTCTGGAGGTATTACTTCAAATGTAATGACTTCAAACTCTATTACAGAGCTACAGTAATGAAAACAGCTTGGTATTGGCATAAAAACAGAGAAGTCAACCTATGGAATCGAATAGAAGACCCGGATAGTAACCCACAAACCTATGAACACCTGATTTTCGACAGAGGAGCTAAAATTATACAATGGAAGAAAGAAAGCATCTTTAACAAATGGTGCTGGCATAACTGGATGTCAACCTGTAGAAGAATGAAAGTAGATCCATTTCTATAACCATGCACAAAACTCAAATCCAAATGGATTAAAGACCTCAATATTAAACTGACCACACTGAACCTGATAGAAGAGAAAGTGGGAAGTAGTCTACAACACATGGGCACAGGAGACCTCTTCCTACGTAGAACCCCAGTAGCACAGACAATAAGAGCAACAAATGGGACCTCCTGAAACTGAGAAGCTTCTGTAAAGCAAAGGACACTGTCATGAAGAATATGAAGGTGAACCCAAAGAAAAACATATATTTATCCTCCTGGATATTGAAAGTAGACAACATTGCCAGGCAAAAGTTGGGCACACAGGGGTGGGGGTGGGGCAGGGGGAAGGGGAGATGGGGAGAGAGAAGGGAGAAGGGGAGGATTGGGGAGAGCTTAGGGGAATGTGATGGTTGAGATGGAGGAAGGGTGGATATGGGAGCAGGGAAGAAGATATCTTAATTAAGGGAGCCATTTTAGGGTTGAGAAGAGACTTGGCTCTAGAGGGGGTTCCCAGGTGTCCAAGGAGATGTCCCCAGCTAGGCCCTTGGGCAGCAGAGGAGAGGGTGCTTGAACTGGCCTTATCCCACAGTCACACTGATGAATATCTTGCATATCATCACAGAACCTTCATCTGGCAATGGAAGGAGATGGAGACAGAGACCCACATTGGAGCACTGGACTGAGCTCCCAAGGTACAGATGAAGAGCAGAAGGAGGGAGAAGATGAGCAAGGAAGTCAGGACCGCGAGGGGTGTGTCTACCCACTGAGACGGTGTGACTGATCTAATAGGAGCTCACCAAGGCCAGCTGGACTGGGACTGAATGAGCATGTGATCAGACTGGACTCTCTGAATGTGGCTGACAATGAAGGCTGACTGAGAAGCCAATGATAATCGCACTGGGTTTTGATTTCACTGCATTTTTTTGATTCTACTGCATTTGATTCTACTGCTTTTTGGGAGCCTAGTCTGTTGGGATGCACACCTTCCTAAACCTGGATGGAGAGGGGAGGGCCTTGGACTTCCTACAGGGCAGGGCACCCTGACTTCTCTTAGGACTAGAGAGGGAAGGGAATGGGGAGGGGAGTGGAGGAGGAGGAGGGAAATTGGAGGAGGGGAAGAGGTGGAAATTTTTAATAAATAAATAACTTAAAATAATAAAAAAAAGAAATGCACCACAGACATACCTACAGGGCAATCTGATGGAGGCAATTCTTCAACTGAGGTTATTCCTTCCCAAGTTTGCCAAGCTGACAGGCAAGATTAGCCATAAGAAAAAGCATTTGATTTTCCACTATTAAATATGATATAAAGTCTATCCTAGATCTCTTCTTATCCTAATTTGTGGAATCTTAATTATGAATATATGTTGGTCTTCATCACACACAATTCATCTGTCTGTATTGAGGTGGTTATAGTTTTTGTTCTTTCTACCAGATGGATTTATCTAACTTCACTCTCATGAATAAAATAATCATGGCCTCAGAGATTGGTGGGATATGCAACCAATGAGGATAGGGGCAGAGGGAAGAGACACAGGAAAGGAACACTATGTGGAGACGTAACAGGCGGAAACTTTATCACAGGATTGAGAATGTTAAATACATACAAGAAGCTTGAAAACTCCAAGTATAATGAATTACAAACAACACCTAGAAGGCTCATAATCACACTGCGGAGAGTCAAAGACAGAAGAAGGAAGTGGTTCACTGTGCAAAAAGGATACTCATTAAGATAATAGCTGATTTCTCACCAGAAACCACAGACATCAGCATGGCATTCACTGTGCTTTACACTTGTAAAGCATAAACACACCAGAAAATATACAAGGTCTTACAAGTCTGGGGCATTATTTCCTATTTGTTTGTCAGTTTTAATTGATTGGCTTTTCTTCTTTCTACAAAAACATTTGTTTTCAAACAATATTCACCTTAGAGAAGCTAGAGCTGGGTGTAATTTGATTACTTAAAAAGTAACCATCTTTAATATGAAAGAGTTCAAATTACAGACATCTATACTACATACTCTCTTACCTTCTAAACATGTTTTGTCACTGAACTTTGCCTTTATTTTGGAAAGTAACCTTCCAGCTGTCTACCCTTTTGTCCATGTGTAGAACCAGAACATTGCCTGCTCCATTTAATCGACTATTCTGTTTAAATGAATAGTACCACTTTAAAAGATCAGTCTTCAAAATGTAAAATAAAAACATATTTGGTGGTAAAAGGACATTTTAAAACATATCACAAACCAGCTCTCTCCCCAGTTGTCTATATAAAGTATTGAACAAATCCTGATTATTAAGATTTCCAATTATCAGGAGTTTTGAAAACCTAAAATTTTCTGTTTCCCATAAGTAGAAAAATGACAGAATCCAATGAGGAAAAACCTGTCAAATGTACTTAAATACCTTGAATATTTACTGTTCAGATATTTTTTTTCATTTCTACTTTCCTAAATATATCACTGTAAGTGAAGATTATTTTGACTCCTTAGACAACATATACATTCTCTTGTTTTATTTTTACATGATAATCTCAACCTCTTTAAAAGGATGATATTTCACAAGTATACAAAGAGACACAAATGGGAATGTTCATTGTGACACTAACTTCAAACAGAGGGAAAGCACAGTGGTCTACCATGTGGACCTAATGAGCTAAACCATACCATACTCCTGAAATATAAGGCAGCTATTAAAAGGAATGAGACAGGTTACTATGTGGTAACGTTAAAGATTCCCAAGACAGGTGAGGTGAAAAACATTGTTGTCATCACAAACCAAGTGCCAGAGAGAAGGAACACTAGGACTCTATTTGTGGAGAAACCAGAAAGTTCTGGGGATGTCACACACACACATTAAGTAATCCCTGGAGCTATTCACAAAAAATGTTACTACCTGGTTTCTGGAAAGCAATTGCAATTTTTCTTATTAAAGACATGCATATGTTTTCACACAATATAATAGAATTGGAATGCTTTAAGCCCCTAAAACCAAAGCAATGATTAATGCTTAACTATTCATTTGAAATAAAATACAGTAACGATATACAGGATATTAACAGGCAATGTTTGAAAAGATTCTTTGCTATCTGAGATTTTAAAGAGACTTTGTGGATCACAGGAGGCAACTGCAGGACGGCTCCTCCACCCGGGCCAAAGCCATGTGGGGAATCAATAGACTAGCCTTCGAGCTGGGAACACAACAATTTACTTACAGAGGCTTATTGAGTACTTAGTTCAATAGGAGTGGACATTTTGTCAATATCATTCTAATGGATGCTAGGGTTGACAGTTCAGTGCAATAATGCACAAACCGCAAGGCCAGATGGTAATATTTATACGTCCCCGGAGCCAGAAGATGACCATTTGTAGAGATCTACAGAAAAAAACTCAAAGCCTGTCTTACCGCAGGGCCATGGATTGCTTTGGATGTTATAGGCTAAATTATTGACACATCAGTGTTATTTTTACGTTATTTTATTTTACAACATTTTTGGAAAATAAAAGGTGAAATTAGAAAGCTTTCTTTTTAATTTGGATAAGGCTGGAAACTTATCAACACAAACAACATTTCCCAATTAGGTTAGACAATATAAAAAGAAACTCACTAGCTGAGCAAGATTCTATTGGTCTAAGTTTGAAATGTAGAGATAAATTAAGTCTTCAGTCAATTCATAAGTTCCCCATACAAAGCTACAATGTTTACATGAGTTATCCTATGCAAAAAGTACTGTTCCTTTAATTAAATGTTCAGTGAGATAGCAAGTTTACTCTGTGGCTGACATAAATAAAACAGCATATTTACAATTGATATCCGAAGAATTTCTTATTTTCTATTTTGTCTAAACTGGATTTCCAAAATACTTTTACAACATTATGGGTGAAATTTAAGTATAAATTCAATTAGGACATGAAGGTATAGGCCTTTAATCCGAGAATTGCAGAGGGAGGCAGAGGCAGGTGGATCTCTGTGAATTTGAGGTCTGCCTGATCAACACAGTGAATTCCAGGACACCCAGAACTACATAGAAGAACCTTATTTCAAAACAAAAACAAAAAGAAACAACAACAACAAAACCCTGAAAAGTATGCATTCAAATATCTTCTAACGGCCTTTAATTGCCAGGAGCTCCCAAGTTCTCTTTAATACAACAAAACTAAAAAAAAAAAAAAAAAATAGGAACCATATCCACTCTGCCCTATCTTAAATATTACCTACATGTTGATAAAACCGATTTAGACCTCTAGCCACAATTTATTTCTTAAACTCCATACTGTCTTCTTGACATTTTTTCCTGGATATTTCTACAGATACACTAAACAAAAAATCCCTAATTATCTGCTGTCACTGCTTCTCAGTGCCTCAAATAAGAAATCTACCGTTTATGAAAAATCTACCGGTTCCAAGTTGATCCACTCACTTCTCTTAGGCTAGGTGCCATGTTTTCTAACCTATATAGCTTCCCAGCTGGTCTTCCTTTTTTTTTTCTTATTCCTGCTTCCCTCAAATGATTAACTTTATGACATATAGAGTGGTCACTTTAAATGAGGACTTGATGAATGGCATAACTTAGTGACCTCACACAGTCACAGTCTTCAGAACAGAATCTAAATTCCTAGCTCACAGAGGCCTACAAATTGCCTACTCTCTCACTCAACAGCCTCATTCCCAAATCCAAGGGCCTGGTGAGAACAGAAGTCACTTCCCAAGGTTCAGATGAAGAGACTATCATGAAATAATGTGCTGTAGATGTATGGGAAGGATTGGTCAGAATGAAGAAGTACAGTGAGGCCTCCCCAAAATAGTAACTGTCAAGTCCTTACCATTCCCCAAGTGTAGAGGGGCAGAGGAGGTACTTGAGCCACAGTTAAGTTCTCATCAGAAGGATCAGAATAGAAATTCTAAAACAGAGAAAGAAGAAACAGAGCAAGAAAAAAAGCCCATGGCTCTTTCTCTTCTTGCCCTCTGACTTCTTGGCACTTCTCACTGTCCTGAGGTTACAGTCTGTCTGACTAATAAAGCAAGAGAAGAGGCAGGAGAATCACCTCCCAGGCTCAGGGCAAATGGGAGATGACAGCAGAGGGTAAGGTAGGTGAACATAGCCTTACCTGTATGCATACCAATCTCACTAGTGTTCCTAGACCAACTGGTGCCGCATGGCACTCCTGGTTCATACCTGATGTATTCTTATATTAAAATTTCCCAATCTTTTACTTTGTGTGAGTGCCTCTGCCATCCATTCATCTCAGTGCTAGTTTTTCCTGATTCTCTCTTTGGGCCAGGGTCTCCTAGAACCCAGCCTGACTTGGAATTCACTACGTGGCCAAGGATGGTCCTTGCATTCCTGATCCTCCTGACTCCATCTCCCAAGTGCTGGGGTCACAGGTATGTCATCACGCCTGGCTTCCCTTCAAGTTTTAATGTAAATCCTCACAATTAAGAACTATCTAAGAACTACCTTTCCAGTCAGTTTTTGTCTTCTGAACACTTCTCACCATCTTTATTTATTGTGTTATATTGTTTCTCTTCCAGGGTACTAGGGTGGTGACAGCCATACAGCAAATGCCTGTCATGCACTACGTATGCAGTGAACGTCAACGGAATAGCGTTGTCCAGATCGTATGTCAGAATTGTGACATTGTGTATGGAGACCATGCATCTAAAGAAAAATAATAATATGTATAATTCTGAGGCAGCACTTAAGAAAACTCATTTGATCTTTATTTTTTTTCTTTGTAGTATGATTTTATCTAAGAGAATAACCAAGCCTTTATATAAAGTTTGCATTAAGAGCTGTTCCACTCCTTTTCCACTTCAAAGGAAAATGTCTACTGTGCGCTGGCAATCTAAAACTGAACAACTGAAGGCAAGCCTTATGCTTATTTCTTTCGCTGCTGTTTCTATGGCAATATCACAACACCACCTGTTTGGGTCTGTGATGATCTTGGTGCCAGAATATTACTCATTTTGACATCTTTTTTTTTAATTGAGGAAAAATAACAAAGGGACAGAAAGTACTCTGGAGTACAGAACACTTGACTGTGGGGGCTTGTTTTAGATGAGGGGGCTGACCCTGCAAAACACGGTCTACATACAATAGCAACAACATTTCCACACAACTATATGTGAACTCCCAAATGTATCTCTCACTCCTTTGAGAAAAGAGCATCAGAGGGTTCTGGATCTCAGAGCATTTTTCTAAGAAGTGGGGTCAATGTTGAGGAAATTCAACAGCAAGGGTTCCTTGCTTTTATGGTCAGCCCTTTAATAAGAAGCATACACTGTCTTCATTTGTATACTGTCTATTTTAAAGATGATCACAAGAAGTGGGTAACTCAACTTAAGTCCATTCCATAAACTGTGCCTCCATAACTATGCATGGACAAAATTAAGGTAAATTTTGCATGTTAGCTGAAAAGCAGATGCCAAGGAAATACCCCAATTCTGGAAGTAGGTAAGGAAATAACAGAAAGAAGCAAGAAGAATGGAGGGCTAAAAGTCAGCAGGAGGAAATGTCAGTCGCAAAGACACTTGGTCACAGCTAACAGACAGGATGGCATCATCGTTCCTTTGGATGAAGACAACAGCAGCCCAGTTGCTGACCTATCTTTGATACACTCATATACCTGAGTTTACCTATTACTCTCTTCGCTGGGAGCACAGGTGTGAATGTGTGAGAGGTTACTCTTGGAATTTAAGATCAATTAAATAGCTGAGGCAAAGGCTTTCCAAGAGTAAAATGACACCACATACAGTAACTTCTGCTTCATACAGCTCTCGACACCCAAGAAGAACGGGTTTGGAGGTAGACTAGAACATACCTGTAAACTCTTTGTAAGTTAAACTAGCCTTTGCTATTTCCGTGTAACAATGAGAACTGATCAGTTCTGTTCATTTTCCAAAACTTTGAGAACTGAGTGCTTATGCACTTGCTTAAACAGATGCAAAGTTCCAAAGGATCCAGCTACTTTTGCTAACCCAGATTTGTACAGGAAAGGGCTGCTTTCAATCTGAAAAGTCTGAAATCCAGGCTTGGAACTTCTGTGTAAGAGTTGTCAACTCCACTTTCCGCTTGGTACCTAAAGTCTATTGATCCCATCTTAAGTGGTAGCAGTTCAGACACTCGTGGAAAAGCCAACTATATTGCCAAAGGCCTGCTTGAGATGCCTGATATTCTGAGTCATATTATATTTGCTCCCTAGAGGAATGCCTTCACAAAGGTAAGATTTAATATTTTGTCCTCAGGTTTTTCTTTCATTCTTGTATGGAAAATCAATATTAGAAAAAAAATCCATTTGAAGAAAACTCTGTCTTTTTTAAAACTCATAATCCTGTATAGAAAATAGGTTCTATCCAAAGTTCCAGCATCAAATGACTGGGAATGATGGTCTGGAGGGCTCTGCTACAAAGGACTTCAAGGCTCCCAGGACTCACTGGCAGTCTTCCAAGGGCATCCGTGAGAAACGGTGGTGGCTCTGCGGCACACTCACGTGCCCTGGCCTTGGGTGAAAGCATGACTGTAACACAATATACTGTGCCCAGGCTAGCTGAATGTGTTTGCTCCACAGGCCTCTCACCACTGCGTCTAGAACATGCCTGTTCCTGAACTAGCTTCCGCCTGCAGCCAAGTAATCATCAGGATGTGGAGAGAAGGCAATCCCAGAAGTTATTGGGATGAGCACGTGAAGGACAGCAGTGGAAGCAACGGTGTTCAGAAATCAAAGCAGAGTGAATACAGACGAGATAGTGAGGCTTGGCCTTGACCCTCAGTAGTACCCAGGCACAGAGGAGAAAAGAGCCTCTGAGCCAAGGTGCTAAAGCCGAGTAAGCCACGTCTGAGAGAAACTTCTGACCACAGGCATTCATTTGGTTCATCATGTTGCTGAAGGCAATGCAAAACAACTCATTCGGATAACGTGTTTACACAATTCTTTCCAGAACTACCTAAGTGACATTAAATTGTCTAGGAGGCCATCTGCAGGGCAGGACAGCACCTGGGTGGGCTGATGACTAGAATGCTCTGGCCACCAGGGCAGCTCTATCTGTGACACTCTCTCAGCGCTGTTTCCCACCCACTCTCAACCCTGACTACGTAAGTAAGAAGAAATGTGGGTATACTACAAGGATTCCAATTTAATGAAGAAAAACAGCTTTTAAAAATCCACACTCAACTTAAGTTTCAAGACTAATAGTTCATCTTTAAGTTTTTTCTGTTTGAAGAATTTACAGAAAGCAGGGCATGGGCTTGTAATGCCACCTCTTAGAAGGCTGAGGCTAGCCTAGGCTAAGACCTTGACAGGGGGTGCGAGGATTTAGACAAAACACAAAACTCAGGTATAAACACCATTACAAATAAGCATTGTAGAAGCTACTTTACTCAAAGGTTTGTTCATTAAAAATATCAGTAAAAACAAAAAAGTAAGGCTTTCCCTGTTCATGCTTTATCAATATCACTTAATATGTATGCAAACCTTTATTTAATATCCTTTAATATTCAATCCTATAGGAGCTGCATTATTATCCTATAGATTAGAAATCTGAGGCACGAGACTTGGATCACTTTAGGTAATGGGTATCAGAAACAGCACTGAAGCTCAGGCAGGCAGTCTGACTGCAGCATAGGTCTCTAAAGCACTCTGACATACCCTCTTCAACTTTTAATTTAACATCTATGAGGCATGATTTCAGGGTGTCCCAAGGCTATTTCTCCACACTGCTATCATGTATCCATGATCCTTTGACTCATTATTAATTCCTTGGATTAAGGATGAAAAACATAAGTAAGTCTGACCTGGCTGAGGAAAGGAAGGGTGCCTTTGTCAGACCACAATGGTGATGGTACTCTGTCCTGTCAAGCTTAGATCATCCCAACTGACATACTCCCATCCATTCTGAGAAGCCTAAAAGAATGTCATTTGGAGTAAGTCATCAATAACTGTCATTAGCTTCCTTTCTTTAAAAACATGGACAGTATTATTTGTCAGAAAATCCCCAAGTCACTGTCAGTGAACTATGAACTAAGTGACTGATTATGAGTATGGCTTCTCAGTGAGTTTGACTGGTGAGTCTGGGGATAGTCAACACCCTTTCTCCTAGTGCCTGATCCAAGCACAGGCCAGCATCAGTGGACTGTGTAAACACAGTGGGACAGACTCAACACATGTTGAAGATAGAAACAGCCTCACTGCGCGGAGAAACAAAAGTATTTTCAACCTTTGTAGGACCAGCCTTGAAAATTTAATTAGCCTACAGTAATTTGAAATTTCAAATTTTACTTAGAGATTCTTGAATTGCTTTTCACTTTATAAAAGTATAATATGAGGTAGAATTCCAAAGAAAAAAGAATTAGAAACTTACACGCACGCACACACACACACACACACACACACACACACACACCCCTCTACAAATTGAAACTAGAGACATCCCAGGAATGTAGTACAGTACCAGGCTGTTACTGAACTTCTCTGAACCTGCGTTCTCACTCATCAATGATCACCACATCCTATGGAATTCCATGAGTTAAAGCAACTTGGGAAGGTGCTTGGTATGGTGGCCTTACCCTATACTTTTTTTTATTGCTTGTAACTTTTCCTTACCTTTGCTTATATTAGCTCTGAAAATTTTCTCTGAGAGCCTGAAATTGTCTTCTTCATTTCTCTTGCTATTCAAAACCCATCATTCCCTGCCGGACTGTACAGCCTCAACTTACCTTTTCTGGTTTTCTTTTTTCTCAGCAAGCTATTATGAAAAACAAAACAAACACTACATTCCTAATTTGTAAAATGCATGAAGCTACTGCCTACAGAACAAACAGAAAATCTGTATCTATTTCTCTAGATTAAGCCACCACTTCTTCTACTTGCTATTTTTTCTCCAATGATTTCCACTAGTAGTAGATGATGACCTTAATACTCATCCCCCCATCCTTAAATGTCGTTCTTACCTTTTGTGAGCATTTAGTTATTGTATAAGACTCTTTAGAATTATCCTCCATTCTACCATACAGCTCTAATAAAAGGAAAAATAAGATCCGTGTTTGCTCTGTAGCAATAGGTACTAACTTTTCTTTTTTGACTTCTATTGTTCTATCCCATTGTCTATGACTGTACTATTCTTCATAACCTCTACAAAGAAAGGAAATAAATCTAATTCCTCTTTTGCATCATATATATAGCATATACGATATATCATCTATAGCTATAGTCCTATTTGAGTGTTGAAATATTTAAACTGAAACAAAATGGTGGTTAAAAAGAAATTCAGGTCTGGTGAGATGGCTCCTTGGTAAACACAGTTGCTGCCAAGCATGAGAATATAAGTTCTATTCCTCGAACCCACATGGTGGGAGGAGAGAAGTCATTCCCACAAGTTGTCCTCTGACTCCACACACATGACATCACATACACACACACACACACACACACACACACACACACACACCAGAAACACACAAATAAATATTTAAAAAATAAATACAACTGAAGAACTAACTCCAAATGTGTAAGTCACAATGCATAAACACACAACATGAAAAATCAGGGCAGCATCACCCCACTGAAAATGACCAATTCCACAGCAATTGATCCAGTAAAACAAGTTATATGAAAACCCAGACAAAGAGGGTAAAGGAATGATTATAAGAACGTTCAATGAGCTCTTCCCCTGCTGTTCTGAAGAGGCAGCTCTCTGCCTCTCCCTTCCCCACTCCTCTCTCTCCTCTTCTCTCCTTCTTTCTCTCTCTTTGTCTCCCCCTTCCTACTCCTACAAACCCTTTAATAAAACTTCATACTCAAAAAAAAAAAGGAAGAATGTTCAATGAAATCAGAGCACATGCAACAACTCTTGAATTCAAGAAAACAAATACCAGATGCTGGGGAGGATTGGGGGTAGGCCTTTATAAGCTTCTGGTTATAACTGTAAGTCAGGTATATGAAAATCAGAATGGAGGCACTCCCATATGTGTGGTTATATTCCTGAAGGAGTCTAAGTCAGCATACCACAGAGATTCTTGTGCAT